CGCTCTTCCCCATGGGCGCTAGCTGCTTTTCTTCTCCTTGCCAGAGTAACCCGAATAGTGGCTTTTTGATGAGATCTGTCCTGTGCTCAGCATTTGTTAAAAGCCTTTTATTGAGGCGTCGCAGGGCGGTGCGATGGATGGTTCTGGGGGGCACTTTCCGTTGCAGTCTTCCCCTCTTCTAAACTAATGAAAACCCATTCATCACCAGCTATTTCCACGAATGCCCTAAATCTGTGGCTAGCGATGAGACAACCCTACTGTAGACAGCATAGCAGCAAAGCACCAGCTCCATCTGCCTCACTCTGGTGAGCATTTAAAAAGGACTTCAGTTGTGTTTCAGAACAGCAGCACTCGAACGCATCCCCGCCATGCACTTTCCAACCCTTGCCCCTTCCCTCTTTATGCTGCTTTTGTTTCAAAAGGAGAAAATCTCGTGTTACAGAAGCCAGCAATGAATGGCAAGGCTGCGGTTTTATGTTTGCTTCTGTCTCACAATAACAAATAACTGTCAGCAACTAAATAACAGTGGCTTCCTTGGTGGAGGAGAAATGCTACTGATTGCAGGTACCTCGAGAGACCTAATTCTTTTGGCAAATTAGCATCTTAATTATTCATAGAAAACCTAGACAGAACATTAATAAAGGGAACATGGGGAAAGTGATTCACATATGAGATCAAGATGAACAAATAAAAAATCTTGCAGCCTTCCCCTCTTCGCACGACATTGTGATGAACTGCAGCGAGGTGTGATCCTCTGCTCCGACCCCAGCCCCGAGACAAGGTCCTTCTGACCCGCTCAGCAAGGGGAAGCGAAGCTTTGCTGTTACAGGACGTGCCAGAAGTACAGCCTCAGAAAAAGGATGCGTCTAATGCAAAGTCCCTCTGACGGATGCCGATACAGGCCTTGCAGGCTGAACGGGAATGCAAATCCCGTCCAGCCCTGGAGCTGACCGCGCAGCCGGGGCGGCAGCCCCCCACTGGCTCTGCCACTGGCTCGCTCGGCAAACTCCCGCGCACCTCTCCAGCCTTTGATTTCTCCTTCTCCACAAAGTGGATAATTACCCTCCCTGAAGGACTGTTGGACTTCAATTCCTAGCATCTACAAGGTGCCTGGAGAGCCAGGAGAAGAAGAGGTTAGGACAGGCCAGACTGGTTAATACCCTAAGTCCGTTGAGTGATTTTAAACGAGGTAAAAATCTTCCCAAAAAGCCGCTGCAGGGCCCCCTGGTAATGCGTGTTGTGTTGTTAGGGAGCCTCACATCAAAGTTACTTAACAGATTGTCTTTGATATCTGCATTTTTGTGAGAATGCACTGAAGCAAGTTCCTGATGGAGGGGAGGCGACTAGGCACTTTGTTTTACATTTCCACAGGATCAAACTTGGGGGAATTTGTAATTAAATAGCACCATTAATGAAAAATAGGTCACCTACCCCTTTTGAGCTCCTGCATCTGGGCTGCAGAGATCAGCCGCTCTGTTACTCAGAGGACAGGTTATTTTTAGTTCAGAAAGGGTCTGTTTACACTTGACAGCACAGGCAAGCGTACTCCGTGAGCGTAACACCCCCGCCACGCACACACTGGAAGACAAGCAGCCCCAGTCTGTGTGCCTCTGTGCGAGCAGTGCCATGGGCAGATGAGGCTGAGCAACAGCTTTCCAGGCTAGCTCTTTCTGGCTGCGAGCTATCTGCAGACGTTTGCATTTTGGGAGCAGGGCTGCCGGAGGCGCTTGGCGCGGACCCCCAAAGGTACGTTTGAAGTTTGAGGTGGCAAGACAAGCAAGCAGCCCCAGTCTGTGTGCCTCTGTGCGAGCAGTGCCATGGGCAGATGAGGCTGAGCAACAGCTTTCCAGGCTAGCTCTTTCTTCTGCCTGGGAGCTATCTGCAGACATTCGCATTTTTGGAGCAGGGCTGCAAAAGCCGCCTGGCATGGACCCCCAAAGCTACGTTTGAGGTGGCAAGACCAGTAAGCAGCCCCAGTCTCTGTGCCTCTGTGCAAGCAGTGCCATGGGCAGATGAGGCTGAGCAACAGCTTTCCAGGCTAGCCCCTTCTGTCTGCGAGCTATCTGCAGACGTTTGCATTTTCGGATCAGGGCTTCCGAAGGCGTCCTCCCAGAAACGAGAAAGCGGATAGCTTCCCGACTCCTGGCCTGTTCCCGTTTATTAACGGAAAATGGTCTCTGTCATATGAAATATTTCCTTCGGGTGGCTCGGCTGTCTGTCTGGGTACGCTCCCCCTTGACTACCACACACCTGACCGTTACCTGTGTATCAGAAACTGGAAAAAGCCCTCGATTTCATAGCGGCAACTAAAACCGTCAGCATTATCAACATTTTTCTCCTACTAAATCTGAAACACAGCAGCTACTGGGAGGGAAATTGAATGTATCCCGGTCAAAACTGGGACACGTATCTACTTTTATC